TCTTCACCATTTTTTTTTTTTGCCCCTGCACCACCTAGTCAGTCAGTTATGTGCCATGCATGATACACGCTTAGGCGATCATGTATCTTTCAATACATGACTGACGAGGCAGATTTTTCCCGCAGTAAGTTGCCATTTCTTTCTGCTGTAGACCAGTTGTCATCAAATGCTATAGAACCCAGTCTGGTGGGGGAGAAGAAGAGGATTCATATCTTTCCGAAGTGTATTAGCACGTAAGTAAATGTAATGGATTCGACTCGAATTAGAAACTCGGCTCTCCGATTCCTCAGTCCGAACCGCTACCCATTACTCTACCGTGCCTACCCTTATGCCCCTCCTAAACATCTCTAAAATCCTGATGCCCAATCCCCGTGATATATAATTCTTTTTATTCAAAAAGTGAAGTACTATTCACGTGAAAGAATCCTAAAAAGCCATTAACTTAACTTTCCTTAAGAACTAAGGACTGTGTATATACAATAGTACTATCATTTAATTTTAGAATTTTACAATATTTATAAAAATATTGGCATACTAATATAAATATAGATACATTATATACAGTCAGTCAGTTAAATGCCAATCGTGATACAAGCTTGGCGATCATGTATCTTTTGATACATGTCTGACGAGGCAGATTTTTCCCTGCAGTAGGTCACCATTTCTTTTTGCGGTAGACTTGTTGCCAACCAAGGCTAAGGACCCTGGGGGAGAATAGATGGATTCATACATTTCCCAAAGGTATTTGTGCATAAATGTATCTAACTGTAGAAAAATCACGTGGTAGAGATAAACACTTAGTTGTGGAGCAAGCTAAGTGAACAATAATCCAACCTTTAGAAAGAGAGCTATTTATGTTGCCATAGAGCATCTCATTGTGCTAAAGTGGGATAGTCCATTGCTTGGGCTGTGATTGGCTGCTGGTACCTGAGTGGAGGTATTTCTATATAAATACCAGCTTGATTCAGCTGTTAGTTTGCAGGGTTTGTATTAAGTTACAACCTGCTTTATTTTTGTCTGCCAGCTGGACGCTAGCTGGGACCTTTACACCGGTAAGTGCTGTTTATTATTGTTATTCTACACTAACGAACTCGACTGGAATTCGAACTCGGCTCTCCGAGTTCTCACTACAAATGTGTGCATACTGTTTATGCATTATTTATTAACTCGCACACACACTAATTCTCACACAGACTCACTAAATCAAATAAGTCATTTTCGAGGTGCACCCCATAAAAGTCAAACTGCCCCACTTTACGAACGACGGAGATAGATTATATACCCAAAACATATTTTAAAAAGAAAATTTAATTTAAAACGCAAAATGCGTCACACGAAAAACTTTTTCCACTTTGTCATATATTTTCCTAAAATTATTCTTGATATATCAAAATGAACATATCGTTTTCCCATATATATATATATATATATATATATATATATATATATATATATATATATAAACTCTCCTGTCGTATTCGATGTATGAGGGTCAAGCAGCTCAGTTCGTAGGAACCGATAGCCGGACACCAGGACATATGATTTGATTATAGCGGTGAAGAGCCGAATACAGAGACCTGGTGCACTACGTGCCACAAGGTCCCCAAACGACCCTACGCAGGATTTGAATTCAGAGTTTTCCTTCTCCTAGACCAGTTGCCATCTAAGGCTATAGAACCCAGTCTGTCCTGCTATTTACCCATAGATGGAGAGAGAAGAAGAGGGTTAATACCTTTCCCAGGGGTATTAGCACGTAAGTGAATGTAATGGATTCGACTGGAATTCGAACTCAAGCTCTCCGAATCCTCAATACGAGCCACTATCCTCGATATATATATATATATATATATATATATATATATATAAGATTATGAAAAACAGCAGTTCCGGCCTTATAAATTTTCTTGGAATATTTTCCACTTTCTCCTCGCTTTGTCTCTCCCACTTTATCCCTGTCTTTCTTCTCTCTCATTAATTGATTTCTGAAGAGTTTGACCCGTGCAGGATCACAATCTCTCTTTTTCGCGTCTCTCTTCCCATGCTTAATTGTGTTAGTCAGTGACATAGAGATGTGTGGGAACGGCTCACGATGGCGGGCACTTCATATATTTTCCTACAATTCAAAATAAACCAGTTGCTGTGAGAAAGACGATTCCAATTCACAGTTAATTTGATCTTCACCATTATTTCAAATGGAGATAAATATGTTGGCTTGTTTTAAAACCACAAAATTCTTTCTCTGAAATTGTCTGAACTGAGAAAGAATCTTCGTTCTCTTTAGCTGGTTCACAGAAGACATTTTTCTTGGTATCGATTGACGGGGGTAATTAAAGAGCCACGACTAAAATAAATTGATTACAAAAATAAACAAACAAATAGATTTAAATTCCCCCCTAGTGTGTATACCCCCTAGTGCCTACCTTTTTACAGTTTTGCCGTTTTGATAATTGTCGTTCCAACGAATCTTCCTAAAGAAGTGTTAGACGAAAAAATTCTCTTTAAATGAATGAGTTCCGTCATTTTCAAAGCCTGTGGTAGATAATTTACGTTTAAATATATGTATATATATTAGCTTAAAAGCGGCCTTATGGGGCGGCATTTAAGCTATCTCCTGCAGGGAGCTCTTAATTGGGCCTTCATCACAATAGGCAGGGAGGAGTAGATGCGATAGGCAAAATAAAATGCAGAACTCAAAATTGCTCGCTGCATTTAGATATTGCATTACTATTTAATGTTAACTTTTAAAAGGTCAACTATAATTCTTCTGTCGCCACTTAGTTTAAAGACATTTTGATGTACGTAGGTCCTTACTTTCTATAGAAACAGTTATTTTTATTTCATGGGTGTTTTTCACTGGATTTTGCAATTAATTACTATTATTTCAAAATTTATTTCCAATTTATAAAAATTGTCGTCGTACAAAAATCTCGTAAAAAAATTGCCGAAAACAATCGGCGTAATGAAAAGTTGGAAATCCAAAATTTCACGATTACGGGTGCGGATCCGACTCGGAATGTTTTTAATTTGTTCACAGAGTCGGTCTGATTCCAAAATGATATGATATGTTAGGCTACGGCCTCTAAAAGTAAAGTTGAGAACACGGACAATTTTATTTTGAAACACTGTAATTTGAGAACAGTATTTTGTTTATTTTGAAGATGAGCTATTGAATGTTAGAGAGTTATGTCCCTTTAGTTGGTTTATCAGTAGAAGCCAAAATGGCGGAATCCGAAAAAATCACACTAATAAAAATTTGGGAATCCAAAATTTCAGGATATATAGAGCGTATCTTTTAATGACAGAATTTCTGCAGCGCTGCCCAGTTGGCTCAGCACATCCTCTAAGCACTAAATATCCTTCTTCGTGATTCTAAAACCATTCCGTTATGATTTGGGTAGTATGATCCTGCTGAAAGATCGTACTGACATCCTCGAAGAATGGTGCCATGAATGGTGTGCGCTTGTTCTTCCATCATGTTGAGGTAAGTGTTATACAACAACTCGCATTCCACCGGAATTATAAAACCCAGTTTTTTCCCAGCAGGATGTTCTGAAAAACATCAGACTGGCTCCACCCGCTTGATACATTCCCGCAGTGTTTCCTGGTGTTCTCGCTTTCCCAGGATAACGACACACATACCCTGCCATCCACCTCATTCAAAAGAACCTGTCAACCATATTCCGTTGATACAGGAAGTCAAGGTTACTTCCATATTAGCAACAGACGTGAATGCTCTGATCTTCTCACCATAGCAATTTGCCTTTTTATAGTTTTTTTTATTTGCTCATAAGTGTAGTATTCAACATATCTAAATGAATTACCCGGTTTACTTGAAATCATACCTTTGATTTTGACACGCGCAATTGTTACGAGGCTGTAGCTATCATTCTTGCTGTCATATATATTGAACGCAATGTTTTAACGATAACACAGACAGACACATACATGTATACATATTAATCTTTGCATTCTAATATGAATTGTGTGATCATCATTCTATTATTAGTTTAAACTCAGAGGAAGCAATCAGCTTATATATATATATATATATATATATATATATATAGATAGATAGATAGATAGATAGATAGATAGATAGAAATTATTAGGAGGATTTGATAATTATATTTAATCAATTCATCGAGTGTGATATAAACCTCAACAGGGTGCAGAAAGCACTGGACGGCCGTTTCGTCCTATATTTGTGAATCATCAGCAGTGCGCATCCACTACCGAGAATTGAAACCCGGACAGTTAGGTTGCCAAGCAAAGATCATATTCCAATGTTCCAATGGGCCTCGGTGACGAAGGGATTGCAAATCAGACTCAATATAGTGGGACAGTTCGTATGATGTCTGCTTGGCAACCTAACCATCAGGGTTTCAATTCTCGGTAGTGGATGCGCACTGCTGATGAGTCCCAAATATAGGACGAAACGGCCGTCCAGTGCTTTCTGCACTCTGTTGAGGTTTTCTATCAGATTCGAATTAATTATATATATATATATATATATATATATATATATATATATTTGCAATGACGTCCACCCTTGTACATGGCCCAAGAGACACTCGAGGTACAGGGTTACAGAATAAGAGCTAAGAGACACAAATTGTGAGGATATGTAAGAAAAGTAATGGTTAACCTTAAACTTGAACAGCTTAAGGTTTTAGCGATCAAGGAGGCAGTTGGTTTCACAAAGTAGCAGCTTATGCGAAGAATATGCTCCAGTCGAACTTACATTTTCCCAATGGAATACAAAGGAAATAACGGTGGTTCGTTACAATGGGCGTGGCATGACGGATCTTAGCTGTGAAAATCAGAACTGGTGGCACTAAGGAAATAATATTGGCAACAGAAAAGTTGTACGGAGAATTAAATCGGTAGATAGAGAACATTGTTGATTAAAGATCATGGAAATGACTATGCAGAGGAGACCTGAAAAGCGAAATGGGAATCCTGATCATTGTGAATCAGATCAAACTACACCAAAACGGAGATTAACAACACCCAGAAATATAACAGATACCGCCTCTGCGTAAAAAGAAATGAAACCGTAAGCCACATAAGCAGTGAATATCGGAAACTGAACACAGAAGAATGCATGACTGGGTGGCAACTGTAATAGGGCGGGAACTGTGCAAATTGACCACCTCTACCAAGCAAGAAGAACGGAAGTGATTATCGTGAATAAGAAAAACAGATCGTACACGAGTGAACTAGACGGAGCACGAATAATGCCACCTATTTGTTAAGTTTTTTTTGTTTGTTTGTTTTTTTAAGCATTCAACCCCAAGAAAGGCGGGAAGCCACTAGCACGCAAGGGGTTACAGAATTGGAGCGAGAACAAAGAGGAATGATAGAGGAAAGGATGAAGAGACGGTTAAGGGATAGATCAGGGCATCTGTAGACGTCGATTGACGTTACATTTTGAATAGTCAGAGATTATAGTTATCAGGAAAACAAAAAATGAGGAGGGGGTTTTACATGCGAGACATGAAGCTATTGGAGTAGAAGAGACGGCTACATTTAACAGTTTAGACAGTGAAAGGTTGAGAGCGAGATGCCAGCCTAGTTGAGTGCTTAAATTCATGAAGTCTGGGAACCAGCGAAAGCAGCTCATCGGAGCAGTTACTGTGGAAGTATTTGTAAAAAAGACAGAGGGAGGCAACGGCACGTCTGTAAGAGAGCGGCTGCAGACGAGTTGCCAGATCAGGGCCAATTACATTGCATATCCGTCTTTGGATTTTATCAAAGACCTTAAGACAATTAGAAGGAGCTCTAGACCATATATGGCAGCAATACTGTATGCAAGGGCGAAAGCTAATTTACCTCGTGATGTTGCCAATGCAGAAATTAAATAATTCAGCCACGCTGCCAAATGATTAATGCAAATAACTAACGAAATAATGTAACCAATTCACGAATTAAGCAGTGCAATCACTTCACCATAGGAGCAATGCTTCTATGCGCTGTAGCTTTTCAGGACATGGGCGATCATGGTCATCCACAACTTCCTGTCCTATCTCACCGAATCCTTCTTGGACGTCCAAACATTTACGGTAGCTATTCGCTGCTTTCCTTTGTCCTTTTTTGCCTTCAATGTTTCTCGTGAGTGTTAAATTTTCTAATCCTTCTTTCCTCATAATGCGCCCTAGAAATTTCAGACATCTTTTTTCTGATTATATGTTTCCTTTCTGTTTTCATTTTCCTTAAAACTTCATTGTTGCTCATATGTTTAGGCCAGGCTTTTCTCAGCATGCTTCTGTAGGACCCCATTTTGGCCGCCTCAATTCTCTTCTTTCTCTCTGATGAAACTGTCTAGCAGTCACCGTCACAGCGGAGAACCTATATCAAATAACGTATTAAATTTACTTTGTTTCTAACGAAATTTTCCAGTTTATTAATACTTTGCTTAACTTGCCAAATGGCTAATACTGCCAATTCAGTGAGTTATACAGCCAATCACCAAATAATGTCGTCAATTCATCTAATGGCTATTGCTGCCAAGTGGTCTAGTAATGTAATCAATTCACCAAACTCTTAATACAAATGAATTTGCAAGAGAATAATTCAGCCAATTCGCCTAGTAACTCTGTCAATTGACCACATGTGTAATGCAGCTAATTTGGAACGTAATTGCTGCCGACAACTCAACAATTAAGTAATTTAACCAAGTCACTAAATAAGTAATATTGCCAATTGACCAGTTGAGTAATGCAATCGAATCACACTTTGATTTTCAGCCAAGTGCGTATTGCAGTTAATTCACTACATGTGTAATGCAGATAATTTGGAACGTAATTGCTGCAGACAACTCAACAATTAAGTAATTTAACCAAGTCACTAAATAAGTAATGCAGCCAAGTGGCCAGTTGAGTAACGCAATCAAGTCACACTTTGATTTTCAGCCAAGGGGGTGTTGCAGTTAATTCACCAATAAAGTAATGCAGATAATTCTTAAATAATATAATGTAGTCAAGCCGCAAAGTTAATAATCTAACCAAATTATCAATTAAGCATTGCAACTAATTTGCCACTTATGTATTGCAGCCAGGCTGGCAAGTGATTAATGCAGCCAAGTCTCCAATTAAATAACGCAGCCTTACCAATCCATTTAGTAAAGCATCTAAACGCCAAGTGAATCTGCCAATTAACCAAGTGAGTAATGCAGCCAATCCTCAACGCAATTCAGTTACCAAATGCTAAATGATTAATGGTGCCAGTTCGCCAAGTTAGATATAATATGCTCTTGACCGACTGAACTGCAGAGAACCAAGCCAATCATCACAGAGCAGATATGAAAAATTTCAAGAGGTCTATGACGAGTGTAATTTCGCTTAAAAACACTATTCAACTTAGATATACAACTGGTTCACCGAGAGAATAATATCGTCGATTCAAAAATAAGTAATTCAGACAAGTCGCCCAAATGAGTAATGCCGCCAATTCACAAAGTCACTTAATGAAAATAAAACGGAAGAATGGAGAGTATTTTTTAAAGTCCTGATAAAATACATCAAAACATTGCCACAAATTTTTGACAATAACTGTAAACTTAATGTCAAACAGATGCCATCTGTCTCTGTTTCCTTTTCTCTCGCTCCCAATCTCTCTTTCTCTCTGCATAATATTACATATTTATTTGGGTGTACAAAAAAAAAAAAAAAAAAACGTTGTCAGCAGAATGCCCACGACTTCAAGTGTTCTTGAGGGGTTGACGTCCTGTGTAGTCGGCATTCAGGGAAAACGATGAGGAGGCGGCTTTAAAGTCCTGTTTAACAATTCAGTTTGCAAGAGAGCACCACTCCTTGTTTTTGTTTTTTACATTATTGTCAAGTGCTTTTATTTTGTGGGTCTTTATTCCATTCAGATACGATTTGGATTTCTTTTATTTAACCATTTTATTATAGGAATGCATTGTATATGATTTCCTTACGTGGAATGTATTTCTATTATTAGTCTATATAAATACATTGTACATTTTTGTAATACTATTTTTAAGGATAGATAGATAGATAGATAGATAGATAGATAGATAGATAGATAGATAGATAGATCACGATGACCTCTTTTGGAGATTGCTGTAAACAGATAGATCAGGATGACATCTTTTGGTGCTTAGTTTAGAAAGAAAGAAAGAAGAAAGAAAGAAAGAAAGAAAGAAAGAAAGAAAGAAAGAAAGAAAGAAGTGACTGGGATAGATCAGGATGACATCTTTTGGAGATTACTGTAGATAGATAGATAGATAGATAGATAGATAGATAGATAGATAGATAGATAACTGAATAAAGAAGGGACTGGGATAGATCAGGATGACATCTTTTGGTGCTTACTTTAGATAGATAGATAGATAGATAGATAGATAGATAGATAGATAGATAGATAGATAAAAAGAAAGAAAGAAAGAAAGAAAGAAAGAAAGAAGTGAATGGGATAGATCAGGATGACATCTTTTGGAGATTACTGTAAACAGATAGATAGATAGATAGATAGATAGATAGATAGATAGATAGATAGATAGATAGATAGATAGATAATTGAAAATTATATGGGTAATATATAACGAGAAATCTAGTTCACATCTGCTTAATAGAGATCAAAACCCACACATTAGTATCTCCTGCTCCCTCACCAAAACAGTCCATCTTTCTCATTTACTGTGCACTCCTACTTTCCCACAGATCTTTATTTCAAATTTATAGACTTGCTCTTTAGGTAATTTCAAACGACGCAAAACAGAAATGTGCAACGAAAATACACCAAAGATTTACCGTTTCCAGAAAATATAATCCTTTATGAGTTCAACCTATATCATATCTCTCTCTCACTATGTTTCTCTTTCTCTCTCTCTCTCTCTCTCTCTCTCTCTATATATATATATATATATATATATATATATATATATATATATATATATATATATATATATATATATATATTTCATTTGTCTTCTATCATTTCTCTCTCTTTATATATATATACATATATATGTTTATATCATATGTATGTACATATATATACATATGTCTTGAATCATATGTCATATATATATAATATCTTATATATATATATATATATATAAGATATTATATATATATATATATGATATATATATATATATATATAATGTCTTATATATATATATATATATATATATATATATTATTTCAGTAAATTTAATCAGGCTGATAGATTTTTTATGGGCTGTATCGTTTGTGAGGCAAATGTACAAGCTGCACTCAAGGAAGGCTTACGAGGCTGTGTTTTTTAGGGTAACCTGTTTTTCAACGTCATATTAAGGAAACGTTTGGGGTAGCAACTCGTATATATATATATATATATATATATATATATACAGAAAAGTAAATTTATTTTTAAAATTCCTTCTCCCACACACACTTACTCACTCATTCATTCACTCACTCTCACATGCATTCCCTTTCTCTCTCTATCCTTCTCCCCCTCCCTCTCTCTCTACCTCTCTCTTTCTCTCTCTATTTCTCTATCTATCGAGCAGATATACTCAAAATGCATGTTATAGTTATGCAATGGGATATGTTAACCTAGAACCGAGTAGATGAAGATCGTTAACCAGGGAGGGCGGGGAGTCCATCAAAGAGAAAGAAAAACTCTGATTTCAAACGTCTGGTGTCTTACGACCATACCCAATTATGGGAAAGGTTTCAGCATTAAACCCAGGATGTAATATACAGTGTGCGATGGGTAAATTATCGCCATTTTTTATTTCGAGCATGAACTTTGCTTTTGCTTTTGATTTTGTTGGCTGCAAAGTAAAGTAGGATTAATTAGGCACCGTCTGTGAGAAAAAGAGCGCCATGACGCAATTCACTCCAAAATAAATTTGAAAATGTCTTGTATAAGAGTAAGTGTCGTTGTGATTTGAAACTAGATCGCCAGTGAGTAACACGAGCGACTCCATTATTAAATCGATCACGTGATCATAAAGGAAGTGAATAAATAAGAAGTAGCGTGATGACTACACGGATCCCTGTTCTCTCTTCTTTTCTATCCACTATTGCTATACGGTTCACTGTCTCTACTCTACTGCTATACAGATTACGATTCTCTTCTGATCATTATACTATTTGGCGATTACTACTTGAACAAGTATTACTAGTGCGGATATTATTGGAAGGTATTATTACTAGTACCAAAGTCTTGAATATAATGAGCATTTTTGGGAGTAATAGCGAGCTTTTGTAGGGAATCACAAAAGTGAAAAGTGAAGCCGTCCATCATCACAAAAACATGGCATACTGTACTAATTGGCATTCACATCGTAAGATCCAATACGAACTTGTGTAATTTTGATAAATATATCTGTTAAAATGAGTTGTCAGTGTAATTTTCATTTTTGTGTAATTTAGACAACAATTATCCATCGCAACCTTTTTATATATATACATATGTGCGTGTGTGTGTGTGCATACAGGGTGCGAAGGATAAATATATATATATATAGAGAGAGAGAGAAAGAGAAAAAGAGGGAGGGAAAAGTGAGAGAGATAGATGTGTGTGTGTGTGTGTGCGTGCGCGTGTGTGTGTGTGTGTGTGTGTGTGTATTAGGAAAATTAATGAAAAAGTGGAAAAAATTTTCGTGTGCCGCGTTTCGTCCTTTAGGTCTTCATTGGTCTAAAATGATGTTTACATTGATGTAACTGCACATGGACACAAAGGAGAAAAGTTGCTGAAAATTTTAATTTTTTTTTTTTTACATCTAAATTTTTATTTTTGAAATGTGTTTGAGTATATATTGTCCAGTCAATTTTACTTAGTTTCTTTTCGATTAGGTTTTCATCATTTTTCTTTCTGACATTTCGATAATAGAAGATCTGCGAAAAATGATTAAATGTTGTAAGAACCTGGATGTAAATTTGCCTTCTAAGTTTACGCTTTCTTCTTAGTAAGTGGCTTTCTCTTTTAATTAAAGCTGCATTTTTTATTAACGAAATTATGATCAGACCCATTACGGTGAGGTACTAATGTATTAAATGTGTTGTTTTGTCAAAGATCTCTTTTGTGTCCATATAATATTTTAAGTGAAAAAGATATATAAATGTTTATATATCAAGACTAATGTTCTTCATAAAAAAATATTAGAAGGCGCTATTTTGCCGATCCCTGTAAAATAGACAAACATGATTTCATGCTTATTTTACCAGTCTCGGTAAAATAGACCCCGCCAAGGAATTTACCAGTCTCGTTAAAATAGACACCGCCAAAGAATTTACCAGTCTCGGTAAAATAGACCCCGCCAAGGAATTTACCAGTCTCGGTAAAATAGACCCCGCCAACGAATTTACCAGTCTCGGTAAAATAGACCCCGCCAAGGAATTTACCAGTCTCGGAAAAATAGACCCCGCCAAAGAATTTAGCAGTCTCTGTAAAATAGACCCCACCAAGGAATTTAGCAGTCTCAGTAAAATAGACCGCAGCAAGGAATTTACCAGTCTCGGTAAAATAGACCCCGCCAAGGAATTTACCAGTCTCGGTAAAATAGACACCGCCAAAGAATTTACCAGTCTCGGTAAAATAGACCCCGCCAAGGAATTTACCTGTCTCGGTAAAATAGACCCCGCCAAGGAATTTACCAATCCCGGTAAAATAGACCCCGCCAAGGAATTTACCAGTCTCAGTAAAATTGACCGCGCTAAGGAATTTAAATAAATGATTATATGAAAACAAAACTTATCTTTTATTCACCGTAACGAATCTGACCTTAATTTCGATTTAAGAAATGCTACTTTAATTAAAAGAGAAAGCAATTTATTAAGCCAAAAATGTATAGAAAGTGCTTTACTCGCTAGAGCATACACAGTAAATTTACGCCCAGGTTCTTCGCATATATTCTATCTTCAGAACGTGAGATATTTAATAACAAATATGAGGGAAATATAAACAAAAAGAAAAAAAAAACTAAATGAAATCGGCTAGAGTTCTTTATTTGTCGTATCCTCTTAGCATGTATCTGATTATGGCTTTCCACAACTTCCTGTCCCTTATAGCTCTTAATAAATTTTGTCTTTCTGTTATTTCTCCTAAACTCTATTCCGTCATCGATTTACACAAACTCACTGAATATGTTATGCGTTTTATTCCTCTGTCCCTCTATCTGTCCCATGAGTATCAGATTCTCCAAGCCCTCCTTCCTCATTATGTGCCCCAGAAACCTCAACTATTACTCCCTGATGTTAAGTATGTTTACTTTTTGATTCCATTTTCTCCAAAACTTACTGACATGTTCGATGCACGGTATCCTCAGCATCCTTCTGTAGAATAAAATTTCTGTTACTTCAAGTTTCCTCTTCATCTTTGAAGAGCTCGTTCAGCAATGGCTACCATACAGGAGGACAGATAGCACATAGCGGTTTTGTACATTTTTTCTTGTTTATGGCGAAATTATCTTATTTCTTAGCTTTTGGAATACATCCTTAGCTATCCCAGTACGCCTTCGGATCTCAGTGTCACACCTTCCGTTCTCTGTTAAAACACTTCCCAGATATTTAAATTACCGCACTTGTTTGATTTTGGTATCTCTGATTTGCAATTCGGACTTTGGGCTCATTCTTTTGCTAAGAACCACGCATTCTGTCTTCTTGCAGTTTAATCCTTATTTTGCTTTACTCCCTTCTTTAGAAGATTTTGTACTTTTATTTCTGTGTCTGCTATCAACACTATGTCAACTGCATATCTTACGTTGTTAAGATTGTGGCCGCCAATAATGAATCCTGGTAGGACTTCTAGTTCTCTCAGAATAGTATTGCCGTATATATTTAATAAGTCCGGAAAGAAGACATATCCTTGCCTTATACCCCTTTCTATTTTTGTGTATCTGCTGAACTCATTTTCTATCCATATACAGGCCGTTTGCTGCCAATATAAGTTCTTGATTATTCTCATAGATATTTCCCAAATAGATCAAGGTTGCTGACAGTCTAACAGATCTTTGTGGCGTACTTTATCGAACGCCTTTGCGAATCTATAAAATACAGGTACACGTCCTTCTACATTTATATTACTCTTTCTGATAGCATTCTGAGCATAAATATTGCCTTCCTTCGTCTAGTGTCTTTGACGAACCCGCGCTGTTCTTGTCCTATTTACGCTTTGATTCTGCTGTGCGCTCTATTCATCAGAATTCGGATGATCAGTTTCGTTATGTAACTCATTAAGCTGATTGTCCGATGGACTTCGCCTTTATTTGCATCTGACTACTTAGGCGGAGCTATGAAAATAGACCTACTTAGGTTTTCCGGTATATCGCCACTGTTGTAGATTTCATTTATTATTTCGGTGACCTTGTCTATATCGAATTGTCTAAAGTCTCCAGCATATCTATTACAATTCCGTCTGGCCCTGCCGCCTTTTTTCTGTTCAGTTTGGCCAATACTGCTTCCACTTCAGATTTTAACATTTCCGGTCCGTCGATATTTCTGTGTATTGCCAGTTGTTCTTTTTAATCGTGGAAGTATTCTCCGATATATTCGTTCCAACTCTGGAAATCTAAAGGACGAAAAGCGTCATACGAAAACTTTTTCTACTTTATCCTAGTTTTATATATATATATATATATATATATATATATATATATATATATATACTATCAGTCAAGAGTATTTGGCCAGCCTCAAAATTTTTTATTTCTCATCCTAAAAGTGTTTTCAATGAAATAAGTTACGCACCACAATGGTTTTATTCATTATACTAAATACAAGTCTTCCTGAGTCATATTAAATACAGACTAAATCAAAAACACAACAAATTCTTAAGCATTGGTTCATCAAAAGGGCCCTTTTTGGTTGCTATCACTGGAGGTAGACTGAAGATAGTTGTTATACTGAAACACGCCTATTCTATTGTTAATAGACTCTCCCACATATAGTAAGTAGTAGTAGTAGCAGTCGCGAGGGGTCTCAGTGAGTTGGTGAGTCAGTCGATGTCGGACATTAAAGTGTCAACCACCACAACTAGATTGCTGCGTTACTAACTCTTATTTCAAGTTCCTAACGTTTTGTACATCGAACCTTTTTTAGGACCGACTCGGTGAAATACAAGCTTCCACTGTGAAAACTACTCTACAACAATAGTTCTGCTCATGTTTCCGGCAAGACTTGCCAGAGGACAGCCGCATTTGTGGTTTGTTTACCTTTGACTTTTAGGTCAAGTTCATCCTACATCAGTTCAATGGGATTTAAGTCCGCTGATTGCGCCGGCCAAGACATCAGTTGAAGGACGTTCTGTTCCTCTTTGCTTTTAATGTACTCTGTCAGACTTTACCAGTATGCTTTGGGGCATAATCTTGCATGAGTACAAATCCTCCCAGGTGGAATCGCGTGATGCTGCAGTATGCTGTGATAGTCGGTCTGATTCAATTTACCCTTCACCTGGTTCAAATCCCCGACTTTGCAATTGACAAAAGCCCCCCACACCATAACAAAGCCTCCTCCATGCTTTATGGTTGTGTTGCAACTATTTCATCAACTCTTTGCTGCACATAGACCCTCCTATTTGAC